GATTGACCAAGTATTACAAATCTTGGGGGATGGGTTTGGAGATTAAGTTGGAGGAGAAGTCAAGGGATTGAAGATTGGTATAGTTTGAGAGAAAAGGAGAAACGTACCTTGGCGAAAGAAACTAGAGAAAGAGCTTGTAGATGCAACCATCTTTATAGGTGGCACGGGGGTAAATTGGAGGTGAATTTGTTGTAGGGGCTAGCAAAGTTAATTAGATTTGGTCCAGTTTTAAAGATTCTTCAGTGGTTCTTTGAAGGTAGATGTGAATTTATCTTCTTCGAATTGATTAGGTTAACGGAGGAAAAAGTAGGGTAATTGTAGGTTAAGGAGTTATGATTTACATAAGGCGAAGGAAAGGAAGAGGAAGGAGGAAGAGAAAGAGGAAGAAAAGAAAAAATGAAAAAGAAAAGGGAACATTAAAATTCTTTTTTTCCCCATTTCATTCTTTTTACCATGCTCTCAATCCTACATGTAAAAAATTTTGGTACATGTCATTCTTCTCATCAAGTAAGCAGTCACATTAGTCTATTGGAATCCTGCCAAACTAATGTCAAAGGAAGTTGTTAGAAGGGAAGGGATTGTGCTGCACTGCGACTGTCTAGTTGTTAACACTTTAATATTTAATTACTTTAATGTCTTATTTAGTTATAAATTAATGATATTTAACTTTACACGAGTCACGTTAGTAAATTTTTAATAGAAGAATAGAAAATGACTAAATTTTTAAAGTAAAATAGATTTTTTTTTTTAATTTAAGAATTAATTCCGAAGCCTATACAATAGTTGAAGAATCAAATTGTGAGTTTATCTTTTAGTTCTATATAAAAAAATGAGGATTTGAGATCCCTTCCATCAACCACCATTAAGGTCCCCTTAATTTTTCTTTTTCTTTTTCTTTTTTTTTTGGCTAAGTCCACGTTAACAAACTTTGTTAAATTGAAAAAATATGCAATAAGCCCTTCAAATAATTTTCACTAACAATTTTTTTAGTAATTTCTATCATAATTGAGATGTATCATTTAATTTATATGTGAAATTTTATTCTCTTTTTAAATATAATAAATATAATGAAATTTTTTGTAAATAATTAAAATCTAAATAATAGAATAAGAACATATATGTAATTTATAATTAACATTAATTTAGTGTATTCACATTAGCATATATCCCAATGATATTAAAGGTGAATTCAATATTATAATTTTATTAAGGGCTTATTTACAAGTAAAAATTATTTTTGTAGCTATTATTATAAAAACAATTTAAGAAGGTTTATTTGCTTGTTTTTCTAACTTAACAAAGTTAGTTGAGAAATTAAGCTTTAAATTAATAAAAAAATCAGTGGATTAAAAAAAATTTATTTTTAAAATAAAGGATTATTTAATAATTTAATCAAATAAAAGATAAATTAAGAGCATATAAACACCATCTCGAATTAACAATGTTGTTTTGTGTTCAAATACATATTGAAACTATCTGCCATTGGATAAAGGATTCTTTTTTTTTTTTTTGGTTTCTCGCCCGGTATCCGAAGCTTCGCCCCGACTAATCCAAACCCGACCTACGTCGCGCACCTGGAAATGGTGGGTGAGTCTTCAAGCGAGGGCTGCTGCGTACACAAGGTGGTCTCGAACTCGAGACCTTACTTAAGCTGGAACAAGCCGCTTACCACTTGATCCAACCCCTCGTTGGTGATAAATGATACTCTTTAATATCAAAAAAACTCATCATCTATTTAATGATACAATTTAAATTATATAATATTTTCTTTTTTCCTTCAATATACTTCCCACAAAAAATTTGATAAATTTTTAAATAAAAAGTGATAAAATGTTGAGGTTCACCCTCAAACTTTAATAAAATTGTTAACTTCATCCGCATTCATGGTTGTTTCGCATTTTTCCTTCCTGCGTTTCGCAACAAGACGAATCACCGTGGAGAGGACAGGGACGGTCTCATGACACACGGAACCTTAAACCCTCACAAAACCTTATCCTCTTCTCTTCTCTTCGCTCTCAGAAACATAAACAATTGCATTCCATTCTTCCTGTAAGAGATGATTCTAAGTGGGGTTCACTTCGGACAGAGGCGGCTCCTCCTATCGCTTTCTCGCCGGAGGCAACCCTTTGCTACAGCCACAAGAATGGTCTCAACTACCAGCAACAACAAAGAGAAGAAAAAGAAGGTGATGGTGATATCTGGGCCTACAGGGGCTGGTAAGAGCAGGCTTGCTTTGGAGCTTGCCAAGCGTCTTAATGGTGAAATCATAAGTGCAGA